GCGGCAAGTCATAAGTCATATATAACTATTTTAAAAAATGTATTGACTGTTTATCATTCATTGTCATCCCAAACTTTTGTCAAAGTATGATCACTGCTAATGTGTTGATCTCCCTCGTGTTCTCAGACGGAATTTTCTGCTTTCTTTGATCCCTATATCCCGTTTCTAGTTACATTGTTAGATGAAAATCTGCACTTACTTGTTGGTGACTTCAATTATGCACGCCTTCCCCCTACTTAGGTTTGGTCTATCTTCCCCATCTCATTCTCCTACCAGAGATAGTTCTGTGCTGGACAGAGCGATTGCAAACCATTTCAACTTATTCTGTTTCAAACTAATGGCCTCGGTAGCTACCAGTGACGCTGTGTTCTTTTTGTTAAACTCAAGGTATATACTCGCACTGCTTATCGAACTTTCATACGTCCCAACAAGATAAAAATTTCATTTAAGGGAATTTTCGCCCAGTTACATTTCTGTTTTCAACCGTTCTATGGAAACTGTTCAGTCTTGGTTTGATTCTTGTCCATCGCTTTTTAAACGCGTCAGTCTGTTGAATGAAATCATTCAAATGATTTTTCACTTGTGTTGCCACATGGAAAACCCCGTTTTTCTATGACCGCAGAATTAGCTCACCCTTTTTAATACCGCTGAGAAGGAGCGAAGAAAGAGCCTACAAACCTCGTCATGCATCAGTTATAAAGGGGTATTCCGACTTAATTAGGTCTGAGATAAATCATCTGAATTCAATCTTTGCCGCCCAGATTCTGTGAACAAAGAACAGCAGACTTTTGTGGCAAGGTATTCGCCTTTCTGTGGGCAGAACAGAAAACACTTCATGCCCTGGTGAACGTCAACTGCCTCAACGCCGCTTTCATCCACCCGTCAAACGAGAGCAAGTTTCCCTCCTTACCGTGTAACGAGTTCAACCCAGTGTCTTTTTCCAATGATGAAATCTTTAGGCTTTTCCGATCCTCCAAAACATCCTCGGCTACTGGCCCGGATGGTTTCCCTCAGGCTGCTTCCCTAGCCAATATGATGGTTCAGTTCAGTTCAGTTCTTACAACCATTAACCATGCATTTTCGTGCGCCGGTTTTGGTTGCCCATTTGGATAAAATAGCAGAATGATGATTAAAATGTTGAGAGCAGATTTAAGCGAAAGGTAGCACATTTTCATAGACTGCAGTTACACGAATAATGAGTAGATGCATGAGCGCCACTGTTTGCAACACCCAGCCATATCGCTGTGTCTCTAACCACCGGTGACCATGATCTCTGGGTCCTCATCCAGGGAGACTAACGGGACCTATGGGAGCCAGTCTCCTGGTCAGGGTTTTCATACTCTCATGCCAGGTCTTAGCTTGATCGCCCTTCATTTTTTTCCAACCGCTACCTGTCTCGCCAAGCATCGCTCGCCGTGGCAATCTATCTGGTGACATGCGTAGCACATATCCCACAATATGATAGCGTTCCTCGTTAATGAGTCCTTGTCATTCCGGTAGATTCTTGGCGTCAAGTTACCATTATTCCAATCCCCAAGTCTTCGTCCTCAACTGTTCTCGCGAAACGGTTTCGTTCTATCGCGCTGATCTCTGCAGGTCTAAAGCTAAGTAAAAAGGTTATCTTGAGTCGCTTGCAGTCAGTTATTATGTTCCCATATGNCCCATATGACTCCCTCCAGTCTGCATCTAAACCCAACAGATCTACACTGGAGGCCGTATCCATTTTATCAGTAAATCATTGAATACTTTGACCAAGTCTGCCCGTGTTGTTTTTCTCGATTGTTCGTCCAGGTGTGATGCCGTTTTTCTATCATCCTTTTTTCAAACTTGAATCTTTTGGCATTCCGAGAAACCTGCTCTCATGGTTTTTCTGACTATTTCACGAAAAGGGTCCTGCATACCAAGTTTAGAAGGACTTCAAAACCTCTAATTAATAATTCTGGTGTGATTCAAGGTGTTGTTTTATCTGCATATCTATTTTCTGCTTTCAATAGTGATTTTTTAGCCCCACACATCCAAAGTATGCTACCGAAGTTGTTTTGTCTCAGAAAATTTCATCTCCTTCGGGATAAGATTCATTCAATTAAAATTTACCCTACATTTAAAAACTTCCCAACCAATCTGGTCTTCATCACCATCATCAACGAACAGCGAGATACAGTGAAGCGAAATTCACTGACCGCTACCAAGCTCACAACGTAAACAAATTAAGCGATAAAGCGCAACATGGAAAGAGATTAGGTCTTAATTGGAGGGAGTTGAAGAAAGTGAACCTCATTGATCAACACACAGTACACAATCTAAGTGTGCATACGTACCTTTTCAAGCATTCTTACTCGATAAGAAATGGCAACAAGAACGCCACAGCTGACCAGTTGCAAAGTATTTTGGACCCCAACCTGGAAGACGGGAGACAACTATTCTACCTTATCGTTCTATGCATTTCTGCAAGCCTCGTTTCCACGTTGACCTCCACGTGGTTTCTTCCAACCTGGGGCCATGACTGCGAATAACGCGCGGTGCGGTAGACCACGGCTGGGCATACGCAATACGTGTCCTAACCAACAGAGCCGACTAATCTGAATTCGATGGGACAACGAATCCTCCATCGAATCATTACCAAATACACAACGCCTTACCTCAGAGTTACTTACACGCTCGCTCCATTCAACCCGCGCCAAACTACGTAAACATCTGCAGTCGAATAATTCTAGATGACGAATACCTTCCACTCGTAAATTTAGGGTTTCGCAAACATAAAGCAGAACTGACCGCACACTAGCGCAGTACACGCGATCTTTCAGGTTCAAAATCACGTCTGCATCGAAGATGTTTCAGTCCTGCGTTAGTTGCTTGAGCCTTGAAAATGCGGGCGGTCACTTCAATGACTATGCTGCCGCTATTCGTCGCGCAGTTACTTAAGTAGGAGAAACATTCTACTACAGCTAATTCTTCACTATCAAGCATCAGCGCCGGGGTAGACGACACCCAATCTTGTAGCGTCACTTTGCACTTTGAAGATGCAACGCGTATACAAAATGAAGTTACAGAACTTGAAAGTCTGTCAAGAGCGCTTTGCGCATCCTCCATACAGACAAACAGACAAACGATGTCGTCAGTGTACTCTAAATCGCACAGCTTTTCTCCAGCTGCCCATTCAATACCAACACCTTGGATACCACCTGGCGCATTCTCCGGTATTTCGTCTACGACGAAATTGAACAGGAATGGCGAAATAGAGCACCCTTGATGAACACCACTCATGGTTTCGAACGATTTACTTAGCCCACCGTAGACCCTTACGCTACCGGAAGTATGCAGGTACAGCGACCGCAATATGCTTATGTACTTTTGCGGCATGGCTTTGCGGAGTAGCGACCCTAGAAGAGACCAATGGTTAACTGAATTGAAGGCTTCTTTTAGGTCGAGGAATACCGCCATTGTTGGTCGACGATATGTGTGATGCAATTCGAGGACTTGACGTAAAGTGAAGATGTGGTGGATGCAACCGCGACCTAAACAAAAGTATATCTTCAGTCTTTTCCACTCCTTACTTCCAACGGACTCCGCTACCTTTAACTGTAAACCTGTGTCCAAAATTACCTCAACCAAGCACCTAGGCGTCATCATCGACAGTAATCTCCGATAGTCTACACTAATTTGCAACTGCATGAGGAAACTGAGATGGTTTTCTTTCCAGTTACGCTAACTCAGGCAATTTCGAATTTCATAGCCACTCTTGTTCTCTTTTCGTTTACCAATGCTTTTTCGCCATTCTACTCTATTGCTCCCCTATATTTTTCAGTCTCAATTTTTACAACCATTGACCATGCACTTTCGTGCGTCGGTTTGGGCTGCTGTCTTTCTGTCATCTATTTAGACAAAAGAGCAGAGTGGAGACTGGAATGCTGAGAGCAGATTCAATCGAAGGATAGAGAACTCATATACACTGCGGTTGCAAGAATAATGAGCGCCACTGTTCGTGACACCCTACCACATCTCTCAGTGTCTCTAGTGTCCGCCGGCCATTGAAAGCAGGACTTCAGGATCATTCGTCGTGTTCTGGTGATAATCAGTTATGCATCATCAATCTCAATTGATTAAATAATCATTAAACTCATTAATGGTCACATAACCTCTTGTGTTGAACTTGCCAATAAGATTCTAGATGACCGTCTTCATCCACAACATACGGATCTATCATTCTGTCGTTCATATCTGTCCACACATTCTTCTTTTCGACAACTTCACTCGTATTAACATTTATAAGAATTCTCCTGTACCCTACTTGGCCCGACTCCTAATCGAGAAGGAACAGGTAGCAAGTGAATTATCTCAGAATTTTTGTACATGAAATAAAGTTCAGCGATATTTTTCACTTTACATGTTATATGAAACTATATTCTATTCGGTGTGGCGACTAATGCACATTTTTAACTGAAATGTAAGCACATAAGTTTACACAAGTTATACAAATGCCAATTACGTTGGAACAGACCGACAGGTCCGTTTCACTGTTGCTGGTGATTTCAACAGATCAGATGTGTGTTTGCACACACTTTTCTTAAATCCCAGCAAATTTATTGAAGTTTTGTTTTCGAAATCAACAAATTCCGGAACACCCACTCCGAACATATTCGTCAAGAACCCAACGGCTGAAACGTTTCATGTTTTCTGCCCGCTAACCCACTATGCTTCTATCACGTGTAACGAACATTTATTATGATCAGAAAATGTTACCGTATATCTTACGCCTCGAACTACTGAGGATGCCGTTGTGTATGATCTATAAATTTAGTTACTTATCTGGTTTATGTCATTGAACTTAGTGTTCCCCTGTTATCTTTCTAAGTGTGTCATTTAAGGATTTCATGTTGTCCCATGATGGTAGTGGAAGATTCGACTTGGATACCTAGTGAATTTCGTCGTGCAGAGAACAAATGAAGCGTAAACTGAGAAGCTGGGAAGCACTGCACTGCTGTTTCGACCTAACTGGGTCTCATCAGCAGTACAAATCCATCGATCCCGGGATCTCGCAGGTAGGATTCACTACACCATTGAACAGCTGACCAGACCGGATTTTCGGTGGTGGAGGTGACCCGAACACCTGACCCATAATACTTCTTAGCGAATTTGGATAGGCCAATTAAGTATCAAAGATGCCTCAATCCCATAGAAATAGCATCAACCGTAGTAAACGCAACAAATTAAATACAAATAAATGGTTTGGTTTTATACTAAGAGCCCCTAATGGTATGGATTCCAGAACTCACCTTGAACTGCTGCAAAGCAAGACTCAGTTTGGGTAGTACATGGCGATTGAGGAATGCAGACATTGCGCCCACAGACACAACACTACGCCAGGGCATGAGGACTGAATGAGCTGAACCATCGCTTGGATGCCAATTGTTCAAACACAGACCCAATTTCTGTAAAACAATCTCATGCACACCAGCAAGCCGCTCAGCACCACCAAACCAC